TAGTAGTAAGGCCAGGAGCCCCTAGTAGCTTCTTGTTCCTAGTAGCGATTCCCTTTGTTCCTAGTAGCGTCCTTGTTCCTAGTAGTAAGGCCAGGAGCCCCTAGTAGCTTCTTGTTCCTAGTAGCCACGCCCTTTGTTCCTAGTAGCGTTTTTGCTCCTAGTAGGACCAGTGAGGTCCTACACCCCATGGCACTGAGCTCTGCAGAGCCCTTTGCATTAATCACTGTCACTATATATTCGTGTCTGTTTCATTGAATCTGTGGGAAAAGAATGCAACCACTTTAAATAAACATTTGTATATGCTGTATATTGTATTAAGATGTTTGTCATTGTGTTTTTTCTATGTGGACTTAGGATGACGGATTTGGGTTTCGGTGACAGCGGGCTCTTCGTTTTTGCGTCTCCGATCTCTGCGCTTCAAGTGGCCTGCCGCGTCTTGGAGGCTTCTTCAGGATTAGTGGCCGCCACAGGCGCGAAGAGAAAAAAGAAGACGTGTCGTTTTTCTTTTTAACTTCGTTTTTCTGTAGTTACAGTATTTGAAGAATGTTGCTTTTGTGAAAAAACATTGTTTCCTTCGATTTGGGGTTGCCTGCCCTCCTTGTTCGCTTGGAGCAGTGAAGCATCTCACGGTACAGATGACCAGGTCAAAGATTAGTGGTCACCTGCGCGGCTTGCAATGTGACATCTGAGGCGCAAAGAGGAAGACAAAACTTCCATTTGGGGCGGCTGTCCAATTCCAAATGTTAAACAGAGTGGATCGGAAGTGTGCAAAGTGTGCGTGTTGTGCGTGTTTGGGTTTTGGTAAGTGTTGAACACCGAGACCCAAGACTGGTCCTGAGACAGGCACCTCAAAGGGGTTGACAATATCGAACTCTTTTTGCTTTCGCAATGTGGTGGGCACAGACAGAAGCTGTCGTCGTGTCCTTCTAGAGCTATCTACAGCCCCCACTCCCCATTTGTTCTTCGCGGTCAAGCGGAAGCAGCTTGTCCTTGCGTTGCAGTGTCTCGCTATTGCTGACATTCTTTGCAACATATGGTCCTCAAGTCCACAGATGTCAAAATCTTGGAAGAAAAGGGTCCAATTGGACAGATCAGCACCGAACCGAAAAACCCTCACCACCGTTTCAATACAATACATATCATATCAATATATTGATAGGAGCTTGTATGATAACTCAACGATCAAGATATAAAGCATGTGAAATAGAATTTGCTAAAGTACGGCAACTCAAAAGTTCACAGAGCAGTCGGGGGTCGGGGGCCATGTACAATTCGCCGAGCTAGGAAGGATTCTCCAATTCAAAACGGGCAAGTCTCCAGGAGTTGGAGCAACAGATGTATGTGAAGAACGTTCAGTACGAGTGGCTCCAGGATAGGTTCTCCAAGCTGCAGGCACGTGGCCAAGCCCATGCGGGCTTGGAAGAATGTGTGGCCTTGACCCTGGATTCGGCAGATAAACATGCCAAAGCCAACAATGTAAGCTGCAGAGAGAACAAACGAAGCTGGAGCAGGCTCTTGCGGAGATCTTAGATTGTGGCAAGCCTTGTGAAGATGCAGAGTGAGAGCAAGGACATGAAGAATGACATCGATGCCTCCATCAAGATGGTGCACAGAGGCGAGGCCACGATGACGGCGCTGAAGACTTATGCCGAGCCTTGGATGGAAGATGTGTCGAAGACCTTCCAGCAGATGCAAGAGAAGCAGGACGACGCGACGCAAGGTCTGATCAGTTTGCAGAATGCCATGCAACGGTGGATTTGGGCCAGCTGAAGACCCCACGGAGGAGCGAGTCCTCTCTGCACTGCCGTCCAGAGCCACCTTCACCTGAGGCAGTGAACGAGGAGATCAAGAAAGAGACCTCCAAAGAAGAGGTGAAAGCGAAGACGGAGGAAGCTGAGGAGAAGATTTTGAAGAAGTGCTTGGCCTTGGAGCGGGAGTTGCAGAGGTTGGAGCAGACCATTGGCAAGGAGCTGCAGCGCGTGCGCTCCGAGGCGTTTGACGCCGTTGCAAATCCGAGACTGCGGAAGATGCAACAAGATTGAGCAATGCTTTGAAGTTGCGCGTGGGCGGCTTTCGAAACTGGAGGAGAATCTCGATCGGGTTACGGCGGGGATCGGCATGCGCTTGGGAGGAGTGCGTGATGAAGGTGGTGAAAACGATGAAAGTGATGAAAACCCTGAAGAATTGATTCGAAACAGGGGCTTCAAAGACCTCAAGGATGCGTTGGTGAGCGAGGTTGGCTAGAGCCTAGAGTTCCTTTACGACAAGGTGGCGAGTTGGCGGAATGGACACGCCCGGAGAACTCTGAGCCTGCCTCCTCAGACAAGTCTGACTTGGGTTCGTAGTTTTCATGCGCTGCACATGAATACACTTAAAGAAGCACACAAAGCAATGCCAGTATTTATTTTTGTTGGTGGTTTTTCCTTGTCTAAGCTTTCAGTTTCTTGATGGCCTTGAATTGTAATTGAACTCTTGTTTCATCACTATGCTTTGACAGCAGCTGATCCATCTTCGAGAACCGTGTCAATATACTTCCTAAGTCCACTGTCCAAAAATTACATTGAGCTCGCAGGAGGTGCGCATTTTGAGTTTCCATTTTGCAGCCACTTGCAAGTGGCTGCAAGTGGCTCACAAGCAACTGGCTGCAAGTGGCTACTTCTGTCCGGAGTGGAGAAAACCAAGATTTCTGCAATGCTGTTCTGCGAAGAAATTCCGGTTTTCTCCAGAGCTGCGCGCGTAGAAATCATGAAATAATCCAAGACTTTTTTCCGACAATAAGTTCCAAATTTCTGCAGAGTTAGTGACGAAGAACTCTTGCAGTTTGTGCATAAAGAACTCAAAGTGCAAATGTTTAAATTTACCTGCTTGAGTGACAAGTGGCTGCCAAGCGGTTGCCTGAGCAAGTGGCTGACAGTGATTGCAAAACCCAAACCCCAAATGTACGTCAGTTGCTTTCTCTCTCTCTCTCTGAAAAGTTATGTGTAGACCATTTCAGGATCGCGAAAGGACAACTACAAACCAATCTGTCGCACTCGTCTACAGCGAGCAACAATGAGAGATGTACAGTTGGAGTTTCTGGTTTTTGCTTGCTCACTCCTTTAGTTTGTATGTTTTTGCAGTGTCACTTTACATTCTGGGAATTGGAAGGTGCACTTAGCTGAAAACTGTGAATCTACGCCTTTCTTTCCTTCTGTGAATGTGACCTTGCCGGTGGCCTTGGTACAGATGCTTGCCTTGAGACAAAGCGGGTGAAACAAACGTCTGCATATGTCCATCAAAACCTGAAACAGATTAGTTCCCTAAACATTCACAAGGCAACACTTGTTTCAGAAAATCCAAATTGTTTTGCATTGATGAGGCTGCCCGGCTATTTGGACAATGAGTGGGTCGCAGATTTGGATGCGACCAACCTACAGCCTGGCGCATCGCCAAGTCCTCAGGTGAAGTGCAGAAAAGCAGAGGTGTAACGATAAGATCCCTTAAAAAGGAGCCAAAAACCGCCCTTTTCCGTTTCTTTTTCCCTTATTAACGAGTATATTTTCTGTGGTGGCAACATGCCGCAGCCACAGAATGCAATATTGATTTCGCCCACCTTGTTATCAGATTGTAAGACGCATGTTTCTTTTTGGCAAAATCTCGTTCAATTACTTGCTGCTGACCTCTCCCCCTGATGTTTCTTGCATTGAATTGATGCCTTGCGGAGATAACTCAAAGTGCAATACTTGTTATTCTGTTAGCTAGCTGAGTCTGAAGAACGACTCGTCATGACTTTTGAACAAAATAAGGAGAGAGAAAGGCAAACACTCTCTAAAGGCCCAAATCCAAAGAGCAGACAAATCTAGAACAGCAATGTTAACAAGTCTAATTATTAGTTTATCACTACAACACCGTGGCAGCTCCCCAGAAACTTGAATTCACAGAAGGAAGAAAATACAATTTTGTATCTCCCTAGGAGTGTTCGTTGGATGTAAAAGCAAATAAACTTCGTTCTAAATACGCTTCACCGTCGACAAACATGTCCTACTTCACCAGTGGTGCCTCCATTGGTTCTGTCCCACAACTGCCCTAGCTTTTGTTCACCCCTGCTTGTCTCAAGTTAGACTGTTCAAAGTTATGGGCCAAAAGGCAAGCATTGTCACATGTTACGCTGCTGCGCATGGGGCATGGTATTGAAAGATACCAGGCGACTTACATAGCGTTCAAGCCATGAACTTTCTCCTGGCGGCAGACAAAGAATCAAGATGGGGGTTTGGATTTGACAATCCAAATCCACCCTTTCAAGATAAGAAAACAAACCTGCATCATCTTCAGAACCAAAGGGAAACGGATCTGAACGGTTTAGCCTATTCTAAGAGCGCCATCGTCGTTTTCTCCAAGGTTTGAGCTTTGCATTGACATTGATGGATCGACGTCTCCCGGCCCAGTGGGTGGAAGCAATTTCGAGGTCTACGTCTCTCCAGTGACCGTCCGAGACCAAGGGACATCCCACCGGCGTCGTTTGCACGTTTGCAGCCTGCGTTCTTGCTCCGTTCGTAGCGATGCCCTTTGCTCCTAGTAGCAATTCTCCTGCCCGTGTCACGTCAGGCCTTGGACAGCCACACACTACAGCAGCTGCCGAATGAAAAGCTCACAGCTTGGCCCTCATCCAGAAGCTGGCAGGAAGTAAGGACGAACACGTAGAAAGAAAGAAAGGAAGGCAAACGAAAAGAAAGGCAAGGCAACAAGGTGGAAGATGGTGCAGGACTTTGTCACCCTCAGGTTGCTTGTGATGAGTGCACAGTGGATACAGCCCTCTATTTGGGTGCCACCTGCACACAAAGCTCTATCATTGCCAGCATGTCAGCTACAACTACAGAAGGCCGGGAAAGGGCAAAAAGGAGCAAACCTGCAATCGCATAGTGTTGTGACTTCCGTGGTTTGCCAGAAGACATGTTGTTTCCTTCTGCTTTAGAAAGACTCGGCGTTCATGACTTGCTTCTTATTGCTCACTGCTCACTTGCTGTTGCAAGGCCTGTGGGAAGCAACATTCGACGCATCTGGATTGACGATAGGCGCCTCAGTCTATAGACACATTTGGCACCGTGCAGGATGCTTTCTTTGCATCGACTAAGTGTCATAAGCTGCCTTGTTAGGCAATGCAAAGTAAGATAGCAGGCATGCTTTGTGCTTCATGAGCCCACAAGAACCTGATTTTTGCATTTTTTTTGCTCAGGCTCTAATTACAAGCTTTGTTCCGATTTGGATGGATCTGGTCTATTTCGACCACTAGGCAACACAGGCCTATCCATCTACGTCAGCCCAGTGGCAGGCCTGGTTGACAGAAAGTTGTGGAGCTTATCTCAAAGAGTTGTTTGCAAGGTAGAAACTAGGGCATCGCTA